CTGGGTTATAAACAAAAAGTATTAATTTTTATGAAACATAACAGCAATAGATTACGCACCTCACAATGCACAATATCATAGAAGGTACACGAACCATCATCATGTGCAAGAAGCACCGATTCTCCCTCAGACACAAACCATCCACCAGTTGAGGTCTTATGCCCAATCTCATTTAACTGATACATGCTATTGTCCTCAGTGTCGTCCTCTATGTTAATTGAGGGGGTGTTCTCTTGATCCTCAAATTCATTAAGTTTTTCATCACTAGTTAGCATATCATCAATATTATTTGTCTCGTTGATAACTTCCATGGAAGAATCTTGTATTGATGGATTAACGACATCATCCACATCTTGGGCATCCATCATCTCAAAATCAGCATTCTCAACTTGAGTAGTGGCTTTGGGTTGCTCCGTATTCATAGAAGCCAAGAACTCTATTGCTATGGGGTTTTGATCAACTGGACCAACGGGCTTCTCTTTCTTGATTGATTCATTAGTCAAAAACTCATCTTTCAGTTGCTGACCTTTGGAGGTTGATCCAGATGCATTCATGGACGCTCTATCTCTAAGCAGCTTGTGGTGAGGAAACAATCTTGCTTCCAACTCCTCGGCGTTCAATCCACTGCCAAATTTTTTCCTTTCAACCTCATTTTTCACATCCATCTTCACAAATTCTTGAGCCTTCCTCTCATCATTTTGACTTCTTGAACCCCCTAGTGTCCCAACTTCTTCAACTCTGCACATTGCCTTCTCTATTCCAGAAATCTTCTCCTGGATATCAGAGAGTATCAACTTTGACGCATCAGGATTGTTCGTATCTAGCATCTCCTTAGTCCTTTTGATATCAGAAGCAATCCTTTTAACCTTCCCTTCCAAAAATGCAAGCTTTTCGTGAAGCTTACTTGGGTACTTATTAGCACTCAAACCACCCTTCCCTTCTTCTCTGATGCCCTTCTCTTTCAAACTGCTCGATTTGGTCAGCATTCTCAAATCGTTCGAGCCCGATTCAACACTAGTCGCGCTCTTTTCAACACAAGATTTCACCTTTCCCTCATCCCAAGATCGATTTTTTGTATCAGAATCTAAATTTGCCTGCATTCTGTAAGCAGCAAAGTTAGATTTTTTCAAATCCGAGCTAAAAATAGCATCTTTATCCTTGTCATCACAAAACTTTGAAGCTTTCGAACCCAATTTTCCACTTATTTCCGGTTTCACCTCACATTTCTCCAAAAAATCACTATTTTGCTCCGCTCCAGATTTATCACCGGCAGTTGTTTTACTTTGCTCCCCTGAAACTCTAGAAACCCTAGGGCATTTTCGTAAATCCGACAAATTCTTTCTGAATTCAGATGGGCTAGAACTCCTACCTCTCGGAACGGACGAAGTAGACCAGCGCGCCCGTGGCTCTGCGCGTGATTCCCCGCTGTCAATTGAAGAAGCAGATGACTTGTCGATCCGAGGCATGGCTCGGAGCGTTGGCTTCTTGTTCTGCATAGACGACGCCGTTGCCGCCCGGACCCGAGAAGTGGGTCTCGGATTCTCTTTCCCGCTGGATCTCCGGAGACTCTCCCCACCGGCGTCGCAACCGCCGACACCGGATTTCTGGGAAAGTGGCGTAAGGGTTTTGGAATTCTGTGTCCCTGCCATGGATGTGGCCGGAGCCCCTAACTTACTCCCTGCGCCGCCGCGCTCTTTTACCCGGCGAAATGATGACGTCGACATTCGTTTTCTACGGCCCCTCTCTCACACTATCACGATTTACGATTTGGTTTGGTTTTTTATGGCCTGCTACAAAGTGAGACCGGATAAAAATAAAGCTTGAGTGGGCGGGAAGTGGAAGTTTTTGGGTTTTCAAAATAAAAGTGTTCAAAAAAATTGTTGCTCTCTCCCAAGTGTCTTAAAAGTAACTACTCCCTATTAAACAATTTGTATGCTAAAAATTAGAGTTAAGTGCACCGTTTACTCTTAGACTCTTTAGAAATTGCATGTTTTACTCATGAACTTTAAAAAGTGCACCGATTACCATTGAACTCTTCGAAAATTGCACGATTTACCCTTGCGGACTAAAAAATGCACCAAATACCCTTGAACAAATTAAAACGTTGCTTCCACGCACAAGAATTGCGAATATCATTCATCTGACCCTTGTGAATTTTCCAAAGTACCTTTATCCAAAATTGTCGTTTTTATTTAAATGTTTAGGAGTAAACAGTACAATCTTCGAAGAGTTCAGGGGTATTTGGTGCAATTTTTATTGTTCAGGGGTAAACCGTGCAATTTCTGAAGAATTCAGGGGTATTTGGTGCACTTTTTAATGTTCAGGGGTAAACCATGCAATTTTCAAAAAATTTGGGGGTAAACGGTGCACTTAACTCCTAAAAATTATACGGAGTATCTCACTTTGTACCTCAAATACATATACTAACATTGGTGCTAGTGTGATAGTTTACACTGACACAAAATGACAGTGCAATTCTTTTATTGAACTAGCAATTTTTGTCCGTGTAAATTGTTAAAATGTCGTTGCATCACTTTGAAGTACTACTTGGAGTATATAAAGATGTACCCCATTTGTCCCCCACCCCTTCCATAACCACTTATTTATATTTGATTTTTATATACCCCTAGCATGGTTGTAAAAGTAAAGGTGGGATAAAAATGAACTAACATGGAACGGCACCAAATTGTAATGATATCAATACTTAATTACTTACACAGTATTAGTTTACTTCATCTTATTATATATGAAGTACTCTGTGTTGTACCTCGTATTATTCTTACTAAATATGATTTCATTATTATTGTTTGATGGAATAGTAGCCTCTTAGCCTAATTAAAGATGGGTTGATCTGCAAAATAAGCACTAGGGAAATCTTAACCAGAGGACTCTCGTTCTATTATAAAGACTATGTCACGTCTAACATGTAGGGGGGGACAGATCTACATTCCCTTCTATTCATTTTTTTCCCTTCAATAGCTGCTTCAAATTTTGTCAATGATTATCACGCTAATATATTGTACAAATATACTTCTGAGATATAATAAAACACTCTCTTGACATGGTATTGCATAAAAGGTTTGTAACTTTTTCCCGATTTAGATTTTCACGTAGATATTGTGTGTTCTTCGTATTATTCGTATTTATTATATTATTACTCGACATTATTTGGTATGTATCTGACATACCACAAGATTAAAATCCATCATTATTATTATATAAACTTGTGCTTTTATTTTTATAATACTTGATTAAATAAGAAAAGTTTGTGATAGGTTATGGTAATATCAAAGATCACTACGGATCATGCTCACGACCCAACTACCCCTAGTTAAAAGCTCCCGATTTCACCATTTTTCAAAATATATTTCGGGATATCCTAAAATATCCAAAAACTCACTTCAAAGGAACTTTCCATTCATCTCTCCATCATACCCACTTGATCCGTAAACTTTATCATCATCAATTCATCATAAAAAGCTTGACGTTAGGTACCCCTTGTTATGTGATAGGAACTTTCAGGTCTCATCGTTTTTTAAAATATACCCCAGGGATCAGGGTATATTCTCCTCCTTTTTCTGATCTAGCCCCCATCAATCCCTTTTGATCTTTTTCATTTTCTTCCACTACAAGAATTCTTCAAAATAACGACGAAAAATAGCGACGGTTCCCTTTTCAAAGTTTATTGTGACGGAAGTAGTGTCAATTTGCTTTCACTCACCAAAGTTAATGATGATGTTAGACATTTACCATTACATATGCGCGGGAAGTTTTCCGCAGGCTGCAACTTAGAAGGCAACGGAGGACGACAATGGCAGAGGTGAGAGATGGCAATTCTAGCAAAACCTTAGCTTGAAATCGTGAAAAGGGAGAACACGCAAATGAAAAAAATGTCTGAGTGCTAATTACATTAAATGTGTAAAGACTATTTCATTTTTATTTAAAATAACCGATGCCATTAAACAATTACATCAGATATTCTTAATAATAGATGCAATATCCTATGCCATTTGCATCATTTTTTAGAATAACTAATGTTTTTGCTTAATGGCATCATCTTGGCCTATTTGGTCCATATAGGTTCGGTCCAATCTATATCAGTCTGGTTCGGTCCAAAATTGATTCTTAATCGATCTGGTCCTAAGTCTGAATTTTATTACAAATCGGTCTTTACAGTCCATCCTCAGACGCTAAAATGGGGAAAAGAGGTCATTATATTTTATTAGGCCCCGTTTGGCATCAGCGTTAGAGATTAGTGTTAACGCTTTTAAAAAGATACCCGACGGTAGCTTTTAGTGTTAGCGTTTTCAAAATTAATCTACACCATTAAAAGTTTATCCAAAATGCTAACGCTAATTGAAAACGCGGTTACCAAACAAAGCCTTAGTCATAAGCGTCTTCGTACGTAATGGATGTTTTAGCTACAATCCTCGGACAGGCGCTAAGGTAAACAAATACTCCGTATATACTAGTACTTGATTGGTTTCTTCACGATCCCTAATTGATGTAACATTTTGATTTTATATATATATATATAGGTTCAGGTGAGAATGCAATCTAATGAAAGAAATAAGAATGAATCTGGTGCATTAGATTGAGAGATCTAGGGGTTAGGATTGCATCAAAATTAGGTGCACCAAGATGGTTTGAAAATGCATCATGTCGAAATGCACCATAATCCTTTGAAAATGCACTATCTCAAAATTTGAGTGCAGAATGCAATCTGAGCCGCACGATGCATTAGATCCAAAGGCCAGATTTTATTTTTATTTCTTTCACCAAGTTGCATTCTCACTTGAACTTATATATATATATATATATATATATATATATATATATATATATATATATATATATATATATATATATATATATATATATATATATATATATATACTATGGCATTATATTGGAGTTGTGAGAATTAGAGCGCAAAACTCTCTTTTCAAAGGTCTCCGCCTTCCTAGACGGCGGCCCTGACTTGGCTGCTGCTTTCAACTTCCTGCCAGGGCAATTCATTGACTTGAGGCAAAATGCTTGGATGTCAAACTGCAAAAGACATGAAGAAGCCTATAAATTCACTGCTAAGTTCAAAACTAATGTTATCATCTTCCATAAGTTTCAGAGTCAAGTAAAATGTGCCTTGAAGGAATTTACAGTCAAATATAAACAAAGCAAAGAATGTCTCACCTCAAATACAACCATGTTCTCCTTATACTTAGCAGCATAGCAAGAAGTTTCCGAAGCTGCATAGCGTAGAAGACTAGTTTCCATTATGCTCTGGTAATCAATGATGCCCGCATATAGCAGGCAGTACAATATTTTCTTGAAGATCGGTTTACTGCAACTCTTTTGTATGGGAGGTTTCCATGAAAGATAACAATTTTTTGAGCATTTCTCTCAGCACGGGAGAGAGCGCGTCAGAGTGAGCCAACACATCGAGCGAGTCAATAACGCCATTCATAAGAAGAGCATGAAACACACTTAATACCCCATTGACAATCACATCTTTCCTCTCTGCATCATAATTGTCAATCAAAATCAATAGAAACTCAAGAAGAGCATTGGTAATATCACTGTATTTTGGTATGGAGTTTGCCATCAGCAGAATTGCGGGCTCCGCCCTCATGACATCATCTCCCTCTTCGCAAAAAAACAGCCAATCGTAAAACAAAGCAAGCTTGAAGTTTGCTTCAATGTAGCTTTTCCTACATGACATCAACAACCAACCGATCACAGCCCATCTCGGCAATATATCAGCACCTTCACTAGAGGAACGGCATGTGCAGCAGATAAACCTCGCAATGTCTACCAAAAGTGTCTCCCTCTCAGAACAAGAGAGGAACTTTTTCGCAAACCACGCCTGGTACCGTTTCTGATTCCCAAACTTAACATTTGTGAGCAAAAATCTCAAGTTTCTCTCCATCTCGGGTGTTATTCTAAGTGAAAAATACAAACTTTGAGTCTTTAGGCGATAGATTTTAACCATGGACTTGAAATCATTGACCCTAAACTCTCCTGGATTGAACAACAAGTCTTTCCATATGGACTTAAACTCAGCTATGTGGACCAAATCTTGCAAAAGCCTCACAAGATCCCTCCCTATCTTCAAACACAGGTCAAAGCGTTCCCTCAAGACCCGAATGCAAAACTCTGTCTCCAATTTCTTCAACATATTCAGTCTAGAATCGCCCGATAGGCTACCGTGGTCAGCCAATATTCTAAGAAACACATACAAACCATAGGTTAAAATCAAGGGATTTTCTTCAACTAAACGATCCCATTTTTGTAGAAAAACACCAACCATCTCGGAACACAACCACAAATTACCTTCACTGAAATCCCCTCCTACAATCTGTCTGAGAAGAGCTACCAACAACCCGTCAAACCCAACAGAAACCACATCCACCATTTCACGGGCCACCCAGATTAGCTGAATTTTTGCAGAATCAACGAGTTTACTGTACAATTCATCAACAATTCTAGTCACCATAGACGTGAAATGGCAATACCCATCAGAGATTATTGCGTGCAAGAGCTTAATGTGGGTTTTAGCAGAACGTGGTTCGAGCAAAATGCCGAACAGGATGGCGTCATTAAGGCGAGGGTACTGTTCTTGGGCGAGTGATTTAAGAGAAAAGGGAGGCCGTAGATTACCTTGTTGATGGTTGAAAGCTTCCCTGAGAGAAGCTTCTAGTGGGTTCTCTGCGTCGTGGGTGGCTCTGCGAATCAAGCTCCCGGCCATCTTCCGGCTGTGTTTCTACAATTTAGAGTTAAGAACACGTTGCTGGTTTAAAGGATTAAGGAGATGCTAGGGTACAGGGCCTGTCTAACAAATTAATATATGTAAACTAATTATATTTAAATAATAATTAACGCAATATTATTAGAAGAAAAAAGTAAATTAATATATTATAAATTTATATCAATTCGTCATTTTTATATTTTTTTTTCAGTTTTAATTTTTTTTATATATCATAAATTCATATCAATTTTTTAGTTTTTAAATTTTTTTTAGTTTTCAGTTTTTTATAAATAAAATTATAAATATATCATAAATTCAAATCAATTCATCAAAATCAAATAAAGAACATATATAACCATTAATTCATCCTATTTCATAGCAATTAGCAAAGATTTCTAATTAAAATTCAATAATTAACTCTAAATTTTAAATCTAAGGAATGAAAAAATTACAAAATTGGAAAGCTATGAAAACGGAATACCTGGAGGCTGGAGGCTGGAGGGTCGGCTCCCGGCGGCGGCGGCATCTCTCTACCGGCAGTTTTCTGATTTGACGATTTTGTTCAGTCTCTACCTGCGTTATTTTTTCTTCTGTGTACAAGAAGGATGGTGACTAAGGGGGTGTTTGTTTTTCCGCCAGAAGACCTTCTGGCGTCTTTTGTCTGCGCCGCGCAGACGCGCGCAGATGATGGGCTCTGTAGATTGTTTGTTTTTTGGAAGACATTTCACTCAAAAGGGTCTTCCTGGCATCTTCTTGGAGAAGACATTAACCAATGTCTTCTAACATCTTTTAACATCTTCTCCTTTTTTTTCTACTTCTCTTCACCACCACAACCGTTCACCGCCACCGTCCACCACTACCACCGTCCACCATCACCATCACCGTCCATCACCATCGTCGTCCACCACCACCGCCAC